TTTCCTTTTTCTGCTCGATTCATTCGTAAAACGCATGTTAAACGCCTCCCCCATTTCAAGATCCCTGTTTGTTCACTCTGCTTTAGACATAGCTTTTGCATATAGTATAGACTAGTAGTCTCACGCCGTGCACGCACGGCGAACTTAAATCCGATCTAAAAATACACTGAAAATTTATCATAAGTTGTTGCAGTTTAAGTTATCTGCTTACGATTTAGTTGCTTACGATTTAGTCTATTGATTCATTTCCTTTCTTCAATCATTGACCTACCTTAACACATCTCAATCGACTTTAATTTGGTTTTAATTTCATCTGTTAACTCAGTTAATATAATTAATCAAAATTATTACTCTTAATTTTGTATCTATTGCTTGCAACTTTTTTTGTTTTAATTGAAATAATTGTTGCGTTGATACAAACGTTAAGCTTCGTGAATTCATTATGCTACACTGGTTGTTAACAAAATAAGCTTTAATCATAAATGTTGCAAAACTTTATAGGCAATTGTTGCAGTTCCGTTGTTGCAGCTCTATACATGTATTATGCCTGTTAAGTAATTTAATCTACGTCTGATTGTAATATGTATTTCATTTAGTCTGTTAAATATTTATTATTCACAATTATAAGTGAGGGGTAGTATCCAAGAATCGCATCAAGCAGACTTAATGCAACACGAGCATACTCTGCAGAACTATTATACTTAGGATTTTTTATATATTTAGTAAACACACAGTTGAAAGTAAACAAAAATGTAGGCATTTGACCTGATCAGTGAACTCTACAATAGCAAAACGAATAACATATATCTAGTCTCCACACACACGTCAGGTCCACAACATGAGTAAGGTGCTTAAACCACCATAGTTTTTCAATAGACAAAGTAATTTCAAATGGAAATGTCAAACAAAGAATTAACATAAACAGAAGTAAGCATTCCACGATATAGTATGCACTCACACAAAGAATTCGTTATTCAGAATATACTTACAATAAGATTGTCCGGTAACCTTGGATAAGTAACAATGATTTTTTTCTCAATACAATGAAAAGTGGTTTCCAATTCAATGCCCTTTTTCAGATAACCGACATGAACCGACATGATCATCTGATACTCGTGACTGTTAGAACTCACAAATTAGTAACTTTTCCAAACAAAAGAAATAAAGTGGGGATCATGGAAGAGTCTACACATTGAATTGATCCAAACTTACTATTTCGCGTCGCATTAGCAATATCGGCTAGAAGTGACCCATGAGGGCCCCAGAGCTCATTGTTAGTTGCGTCGAGAACCTGAAAAAAAAAAATGATACCATTAACATCAGAAAGAAGACCCTCTCATTCCATGACTCTAAAAATTACATGATAATTTATGATCATATACAAATCATGAAGGTTAATAAAAATGGGTGCTTTATCCTATTTTCAAATAAGAGAACTATTATATTGTCTTTTTTTTTTACTTTAATTTTTTTTGCAACTCTTGGATATGTTTTTGGTCTTAACGGTTGCTAGTAATGAATTTTTTTATTATCCTATTCACTTTCTGTTTTGAGAAAACCTCATGTTTTAATGCACTTGAATAACAAAAAATAAAAAAAAAAAAAAAGGAAACTTGCAGTTCTCAAACTAAATGCTGCAAGAATAATGCTACTTAGGCAATATTTATTCGTAGGAAAAATGAAATCCGATGTTACCATTATATGTACATATGTATAATGTACATATATATAGTTCAAAATGAAATGAATTTATCAGCTAATTGTGCTTTCTGTATGAAACTAACAAGAACTGCAGAAAAAATTATTGAATATATTTAATGTTGTGATTCTCTTTAGGCATATTATAACCACATTTCATTATTATATATATTATAATAATAATAATAACAACCAAACTGCTGAAATAACAAAAAAATAAGCAGAAAAAATAAAAGGAAAAAAGCGTACTTACAGGATCAAAATCTTCTCTCAGGACTCATCTACTCGGTGAAGCCTTTTTTACTTCGGCAATTAAACCATGTAGACCGGACCATGAATTAGCACCTTTGATACCGAAAAAAATAGGAAAATATCAAGCCTATTGGGCCTATCTTCTAATCCTCACAACCTAATCCAATACAGCACAACTACTTACGTCAAATATACGTCACGCAACAATAGAAATTTCAATTTCAAATACTAAATTCAATATCCATATTCCTATTCCAACACAAACAATACTTTCACTATACTCCATACTTCTAGCCTTCTTACTTGTTTTTAAACTCTAAATAAAAAATGAAACTAAGCACATTAAAAACACATCAAACCCGGCCAAAAGAATGCCACAAGGTTCAGCCAATTTACCGTGAAAACAGAGAAAGAAAGGTGGGGTCTGCCGGAGCACAATTTTTTTCCGGGAGCCTGGAGGACTTCCCGGCAGACAGAGAGTGACGGAAAGATAACTGTTGAGGTGTTGAGGCAGCTGTATCCGGCATAGTCCGAGCACGGGAACTCACAAACCCCATTGTCGCACACACCGCCATGTAGGCTACAATGCTCGTCACAAACGACTGGAACCAAATATGTATATATATCCAATGTATCAGAACAGGATACTGATGATGTCACCCGAAACCCGATTTTTTTTTTTTTTTCAATAAACTGATAATTCTATGGGAATATAGATTTTTTAGAATTTCATTTTTCACTTTATGATAAGAAAGTAGATTTATAATGTTGAATATGAATGTATCCATAATCAGCCGAATGAACTGAGAAAATGATACCTGTTGAGCAGTCGATGCCCGTGTATCCATTTTCATAGCCACAAACACCATCTTCGAGGCACTTGCCGTGGCCACTACAGTTGTTCGGGCAAGAACCTGTAAATGATTTTTTTTTTTTTTAAGAAAAAAGAGTGAGTCGGGCAAATTTCTTAGTGTGATGCTTGTGGATGAAAAAAAGGGTTAGCTAATTAGTGTGCACTCACGCTTGCTACAGTCTTCGCCCTCGAACCCTAAAAAGCAGTAGCATTTTCCGTTAATGCAATCACCATTAAACTGGCACGAATTAAGGCATTGACCAGATGAAGAAAGTGGGCCCACATTGCAGAGTTCGTGGTAGGCAGGACAAATCAACTCAACTATAGCCGGAGAAGGGTGTGGTTAATCACAACGAAATTAAGGAACTATTGCTTACTTTATAAAGCAATATAACTGTCAGTACCAGTACCGTTAAAACCAGAAAATTCAATGGGCCCACCAGCTTCAGGACAAATTTTCCAGATGCCATCCACAGCAACTTAGGAAAGCATCCAATAATATACTCGTAAAAAAATGATTTGAGTATAATCAAGTTCGTTAAAATTCGAAGCTGAAACCGAGTGGATAGCAGAGAAACTTTAGACTGTAAAAAAAGAACTCGATTATGACACGTGAAAATTACACATCATTGAAAATTACAAGTACCTCAAGTGAGTTGTTTAGACACCTGTGTTGATAACAACCATTCCCTTGCGTAGTAGATCCTCTTACAAACCCGCTACGTACTAATGATGAAGCCATGCACCTACAAAAAGCATCAGCTCAAGAACATTCAATAATTATCATTTCTCAACTTCATAATTTACGTAAAAGTAAATCACAATCACAATTAAAAATAAAAATAACAAACTCACCTTGAATCACTTCCTCGTACTTCACCTAGCATCATGTTGGGTGCCCTAGCACTATTAATGTCCGTGCATGAACCATCAGAATAGGCTAGAAAATAAGTGCAGTAATCAGCCAATGATGACTGCCCACCTAAAAAAAAAAAAGGCGCAATTCATGAACCATTCAAGCCGTTAACAAAAAAAAATTCCTTGAACAAAATTGAACTGAATATTATATAAATGTTGTGTCATCAGTTTGAGAAAACTTAAATTTCCATGAGAGGATATTCCCTCTTATTGATTGATATGCCATCAAGTGTTCTACCAAAATCAGAGCAGGTTACCTACAATTTGCCTGGTCAATTTATGATAGATAATGATATACTACCAAAAGAACTATACGTGTAAGTGTTCTGAGCCAACTACACCAAAAAGAAACCTAATATCATCCAAACTTTGGAAAATGAACCATACAAGCACAAAACATACTTACCTTTCTTAGGTTGAGGAAAATATTGGGCCCACTGAGGAAGATCTCCATTGTAGCTCACTATAGGGCAGTAGCCCTCAGGCTCCCTATTATACGTACACCCGGAAAACTGAGTCGAGTTGCTATGGTAAGCTCCTTTCCATTGGTTGCAAGGAGACGTGAAGAATTCAGTCCCCTGATTACGGCCCCACTCAAGATGGTCAGCCATGCTGTAATTAGCTCGATACCACCCGCTATCTTCTAGCAGAGCAAGTGTCATTCTAGAAACTACTGATCTCGTGTCAACCGAGCCTGTCATGATCTCATTAATCCGTACATTGCTCAGGTAAAAAGTGAAAAGCCACTCGCGGCAAATACACACTCGCTCATAAGCAACAAACTCACCTCGGACATCTATAAGGACTTTCTGATAATGGGTTAGATAAGAATTAGATAAGGTTTTGAGGAGGTTTACAGAGATTAAGGAGGATTGTGCTGATTAGTTTGTTAAATTTGTTTTTCCATTTTTCGGTTATTTTATTGAACTGCTGCCATTTCGACTCCTGAGAATTGAGTGATTTCAGCTGAATGCGGACAAAACATGATGCTTACAGTGAGGGGAGATCGTACGCACAGTGAATGAAATGCAAATCGCACGCACTCTGTGTGTGTGTGTGTAAAGATCAAATTGTTAATAAGGTAATTCGTTGGGAAGGGTTTGCAAAGATGGAGAGTTGTTTTTACCTGCTCCCGTCTCCATCCATTCTTGCGTGTCTGCGACAGCATGATAGCGATTCCTCGAATACTTCGGCTTCCGCTGCTTGAGAAATATGTTCACAACTCTTGAGAAAAGGCTTAAACAGTGTTCAAAACTGTGTGTAAGAGAAGACATTCTATAATTTACTAACCCAATGATAAATTTTCAGAAACAAAGACCCTAAACACATAAACACAGGCACATAAAAAAAAAGGATTTTATATTTCTACTTTGAGTTGATATTGATAACATGTCTTTTCTAATTTCTGATTTCTCCTTCGTTTCTTTTTCATTTCCCAGTTGTCGATTGTGGCCCTAAACTTCTCGTACCTGAAACACTTTTGTGATAAGTACTTAGCCTGTGCACATAATGCCAGATGAGAAGAAAACCTACAGGCTCTTGCAATTGGTTAGAGAAGTCTTAATGTTTAAAAGACATTGAGCAACACCGCCGTTATTCACCTCTACATTTTTGGATTACATAAAATACTCAAATAATAATCTGGAAAAGCCACATAAATAAAATATATATATATATATATATATATACATACTAAAGATCCAAGCCGAGCATAACAATAAAATTCCAACAAAACACATAGTTCATCTAACTCACCCTAACAGACCAGAATACATTTTGTGTCCAATTATGAAAAATGACCAACCTAATAAAAGCCAAAGACCATGGAAATAACCCAACTGTACTCTCCCAACTTCCCATCTTTCTTTAGTTTTAGTCAATAAAAGTACCACTCTTTTGAAAGGTATTCTGCTAATAAATGGTCTATCAGTTTACCAAATCATTTTTCATCATTTTCATTTCCCTAAGATTTCAAACATAGATAAATCGGTTTTAGTTCTCACCCTAAACCTGAACCAATCGGCACAGCAGATAAAATCTATTGTAATAACACAACAAATTATTACTTAGCTGATATAACAAGCCTGAAGATAAACCTACGCTGAAATCGAGCCACGCCACACGGACTTCGACCTGGTGATCGCGCTTTTCACACGGTTCGCTCAGTCTCTACTGATCAAATCACATTCGCATTGTCTTGCCAGAGTTCGAGGCCGCCAACAATTTGTTCGAGTTTGACACCACCAGAACCAATGCGTGCGGTGATAGAGACGGCTGCTCGATGTCCACGCCCATCTCGAGATATCTCTCGCCTGTTCAATTATCACAGTAAGGCCAAATGCTTCGCAGCAACAGACTTTGTACGGGTATCATCTGGAAAAACTACATGGTAGCATACTAACAGAAAACACTAAAGCAACTTAGTTGGAGAAAATTGATGAAATAACAAAGTTAGAGGACAAACGAAGGCGAACGTTACTAACAGCAAACACTATTGCAATTTATTTGGAGAAAATTGATGAAAGGATCAAACAACAAAATTAGAGAAGAGACCAAGGTCAATATTATAATCCAAATCCACAAAATACCAAATATCACCAAGTCCTTGAAACTATTGAACACTTGTTTGAATCTATTTCTCCAGCAGCACATCCATTAATATTTCAAGGCAAACTTTTCTCCCACAAGCAAGAAACTGAGCAATAATATTAAAATTACCATCATGCTTGAGCACCGAGGACGACTGACTAAAAATTGTCTCAACTATACTTTTGCATTTGAATATTTGTAATAATTCTTATTTTCAACACCGTGATGTGATTCTGGCACCAAAAATTTAATCCATTATTTATATTCATGCCAGATCGATAATGAAGGGCAATTTCATCTTCAACCTAATCCTGAGGAACAAAAATCTCACAAAACAAAGGCAAAAAAATAAACTACAAATTTCTCAGGCAAAAGCACAAAGAACGACAGCAGATCAAACAATTGGACATACCTGGGCTCGACCGGGCCTGGAAGAGTGCTGAAACTATGGCGGTGGCCTTCAGAGTTTGATGCCACCGGGCCTCAGCAGAGCTCGAGACCGCCAACTATTTGTTCGAGTTCGACACCACCAGCGCTGCCGTGCACGGCAAGGACGGCGGCGCCGGCTCGATGTTCACGCCCTGCAGTTTAACAACAAATACGTCGTCCTCGAAATCAAACATCCACACAAAAAACAAACTGCGATTCAGAAGGTGGATCGAAAAAATACGATGTAAAACACACAGATCAGAGATTGAATCTGAAAAATGAAGTAAT